CCCCTCACACACAAAAAATTATATATATATAATTGTTAGGGGTGGTTATTCTGGGACATAGCAAATTAGTCAATATTTTCATAATACAAGTAGTCTAGATATAGGAGGCTATGTTCCACTATCCTATGTTGCCAATGATCTTGTTTTTACCTTTTGGAGTTATTCACCCTCTCCATTCCCTGCTTTATGGCCTACATAATTTTAAAAATGGGACTAATTGGGAAAAAGAATATGTATCAATATACATATATATGTATTTATCTTAAAATTCATTTTCATTAAGAGTTGCACGTTAGAATATAACTCTGTCCTCATTTCCATTATTACCCAATTTTTTATTTTCATTGACAAAGACTTGTTACCGGCCAGGTACAGTGGCTCACCCCTGTAATCCCAACACTTTGGGAGGCTGAGGCGGGCTAATCACGAGGTCAGGAGATCAAGACCATTCTGGCTAACATGGTGAAACGCCATCTGTACTAAAAATACAAAAAATTAGCCAGGCGTGGTGGTGGGCGCCTGTAGTCCCAGCTACTCGGGAGGCTGAGGCAGGAGAATTGCTTGAACCCGGAAGGCAGAGTTGCAGTGTGCCAAGATGGTGCCACTGCACTCCAGACTGGGCAACAGAGTCAGACTCCATCTCAAAAAAAAAAAAAAAAAACTTGTTACCATCAGGATCACTTTTGAAGTAAATTTATAACAAAGTTTCAGTCACTTGTTTATGTACCATATTATTCCATTGATCAGTGAAAACTTTTATGAACATGTTCTTTTATAACCATAATTTCTACCAAATGCAGTTTTACTGAGTCAAATTTTGCACAGCTAAATATTATCAGGATCGTATTAATCCAACAAGTTTTAGTCAAGAAAACTTACCAGTTTTTAGATAAATTTGTAGCTGTCATAGGTTAATCTTTGTTGTTTTACCAAGCCCAATCTTCCCAGATAAAGTTTTGAGGTTTTTAGCATTAACAAAAGACAGAATGCTTCCATTAGTTTTTGAACTCTAAAAAATTTTGCTGTGTGCAATTTTAGTCAATTTTAATTACTTCTCTTTTTGCATTATTTCTACCAGGAGCAGTCACTGTGCATTGAATTAAAAACTGACAAAATATTTCTGCACAGTTAAAATTTCTCTGCTTTTTATTAGGTTATCTAAGAGAAAAACATACTTCCCCTTTTGCCCTAAAGAGCGGGTAAAAAGAATGTCTTCATCAAAAGGCTGGGAAAAACATCCTGAAGTAAAATACTGTATTGTATTCCCAGGGTCTAAGAGAATAGCTGTTATGTCTAAGACCCTCCCTGCCACTATCCCACCAGCTCCCAGAAAAAACGATGAATGAGATAACTAAATTCTGATAATTCAGAAATTACTTACAAGTAACTTTGAAATACCATAAGATTCTCAGATATACACTTTTCTTTTGCAGAACAGTAGAAGGGCATGAACTATGGAGACAGATTGGCTGGGTTAGAGTCTTAAGTCTGCCTCTTACTAGCTCTGTGACCCGGGATAAGTTACTTAACCCCTTTGTGCCAGTTTATAAATCTATCAAATGAATATAATACTAACACTTACCTCACAAACCTACTGTGAGCAAGGATTAGTGAATATATGTAAAACACTTACAACAGTATTTGCCACAGAGTAAGTGCTCCCTTAATGTTTACACCATCGACGTTTGCCCTTGTCCCTTTCCCAATTACTCCCATTTTTAAAATTATGTAGGCCATACAGCAGGGAATAGAGAGGGTGAATAATTCCGAAAGGTAAAAACGAGATCGTTGGGAACATGGAATAGTAGAACATAACCTCCTATATCTAGACAACTTGTATTACAGAAAATACTAATTTGCTATGTCCCAGAATAACCACCCCTAACAATCCCACTCTGTAATTTCTTAACTGTAAACTGGGTTCTGATCTATTTTCCCCTTGACCCTGTAATGTGCTTGCCAAATCAATACCAAAAAGTGGTCAGCATAAACAAGAGACTTGAAAGGCCTATCTGCAAGATTCATAAGGCGGCTGGGCACAGTGGCTCACACCTATAATCCCAGCACTTTGGGAGGCCAAGGTGAGAGAATCACTCGAGCCCAGGAGCTCAAGACCAGTCTGGACAACATGGCGAAACTCTGTCTCTATAAAAAATACAAAAATTAGCTGGGCATGGTGGTGCACACCTGTGGTTCCAGCTACTCAGGAAGTTGAGGCAGGTAGATTGCTTGAGCCCAGGAGGCTGAGGCTCCAGTGAGCTGTGACTGTGCCACTGTACTCCAGCCTGGGTGACACAGCGAGACACCATCTCAAAAAAAAAAAAAATTTCGTAAGGGCAGGATGCTTAAAACCATGTTTTGATCAAGGGAAATAATGTCATTTAATATTAATAGTGGGCATTATCATCTTAATGAACAGTTCCTAAGCTTAGCCACTCTGGAGTTGAATGACTTAATTGTACATCTCATAAACCTAAGCCTTTAATATTCTTTTTTTTTTTTTTTAATTGAAATGAGGTCTTCAGGTTGCTCTCGAACTCCTGGACTCAAGCAATCCTCCTGCCTCAGCCTCACAAAGTGTTAGAAATACAGACATGAGCCACTGCATCCAGCCTAATACTCTTTTGTTTAACAATTCTAAATACATTGTTTTCAATGGCACAAATGAAATTTAAAATGTCTCATATAATCAAATTCAATAAAGAATGTAAATACTCTTGCAGCTCATGTTTTGAGTTTTAAAATTACCAAAACCTACCACAATGTTTAATATGCATTAACATATAACTTCAATATAAATTTAAGATTGAAAGTTTTTATTACACTAAAAAGCATACAAACATTAATATACAAATCCCTTCAAACTGATACTCAGTTTTCTTTATCTAATAAGAGATTGAATGTAACTAAATGTAAGTATCAATTAAGTATAAAGTAAACCTAGAAGATATTTCTTTGCATTAAAGATCATTTTCAGAATTGTTTTATAAGCATAGCAGAGACTACACATTTCGTATTTCTTCAATACCTCATGTCAAAGCATATATGCAACTAGTACTAAAATGAAAAAACAAAAAACCAATAAACTACAATATTCCCAGGTATCTAAATTACCTGCCCAGCATTTTGAATACACTTAAATATTACAAAAATTATTCGTCAATTTCAATTCTGACATTCCAATCACTGAACATGCAAAGGGGTTTTTTTTGTTTGTTTATTTTGTTTTTGAGACAGGGTCTTACTCTCTTGCCCAGGCTGGAGTACAGTGGTGTGATCAGGGCTCACTGCAACCTCTGCCTCTCAGATTCAAGCAATTCTCCTGCCTCAGCCTCCTGAGTAGCTGGGATTCCAGGTGCCTGCCACCACGCCCAGCTGATTTTTGTATTTTTAGTAGAGACAGGGTTTCACCATGGTGGCCAGGTTGGTTTCAAACTCCTGACCTCAAGCGATCCACCCACTGGAGCCTCCCAAATTGCTGGGATGACAGGTGTGAGCCACTATGCCCAGCCTTTTGCAAAGATTACAAAAAAAAAAAAAAAAAAAAAAAACCCTCATACCCTGTTGATGGAAGTGTAAAATGATATAATCACTTTAGAAAATGTCTGGCAATTTCTTAAAGCTTAAATCTATATGGTTCCCTAATCTAGTATTATGCCCATGAAAAACTTGCACAAGAATATTCATAGAATCTTTATACATAATAGCCAAAAAACATGGAAATTGCCAAGAAGTCCATCAAAAGATAATAGATAAACAAAGTGTGGTATATGTATATAACGGAATACTGCTCAGCAACAGAAAGCAATGCGCTACAAATAGGAGGATGGATAAACATGAATGAATATTAAAAACACTAAGATAGATGAAAAAAACAGAAACAAAGTATGCATATTGTACGATTCCAATTATATGAAGTTCTAGAATGGGCAAAACTTATCTATAATTTTTTTTAAATTAGGACAACGGTTGCCTGACGTGCAAGAAGACTAATTAGAAGCAGGCAAGAGAGAACATTCTGAGGTGATAATGTTCTAAATCTTGACAGAGGTTTGAGCTACACAGTTGTGGATCAAAACTCACCAAATGGTGTATTTTAAATTTGTGCATTTCACTGTATGCAAATCTTACCTAAAAAACACACATGCCCAAATAAATAGTGAACGCTAGTAATACTCATGCTGAAGTACTTAAGGGTAAATTATTCTAATTCTACAACTTGTTTTGAAGTCACATTTTTCCTTTAAAAAAAAGAACTGATGGATAAATATGTGATGAAGCAAGTATAGCAAAACATTCATTGCAGAATCTATGTGGTAGGTATATGGATACTTATTGTAACTATCTTTTAAATTTTTCTGTATGTCTAAAGGGTTTCTTAATAAAATATTAGGGAAAAAAAAAAACTTTGTAACAGAGGTGAATTCACACATAAATTTTAAAACAAAAAAGACCAGCTAGCAAAGTGGAATTATAATGATATATCCTTTTAGTTTAAGTTGTCTGGACTGATATGAGCGATATTTTTATTTTTATTTTTATTTACTCATTTATTTTGCTTTCCACTATTACAAAGCAAATGGAAACTAAAAATAAATAATATGTTCAAATTATAACTACTAGCTTTAATCAATATAAAAGATATATAAAAATATATTGAACAATTTCTCAAAATCGTATACAAAGATTTTGCTTGACTGTTAATGTTTAATTAGGTAGCATATTCTAAGAACTTACTCTTGTTTAAGTAGGCAACCATATTTCATCTAATTATTTTTAAGTGTTAACAATCAAATTCACTGTCAAATATGTGATTTTGAGAAGTTGTGGCTCTTAACATTTGAAAAAAGAAATGAAATGTGATATTTAGATATGGTACATTGGCCATCTATTACAACATAATCATCTAAATAATGTATTTCAATTATACCTCATCGAAAAATTTTACCTCTACAGTACTGAATTATTTGTCTTAACGGCACACAAAAAAAGTACACAAATCAGTACAAAGCATTATCTTGTATTTAAAAGAACATGTGTTAACAAAGCATTTAACCATCATTATCTACAGTATATATTAAACACAATTTATTACACTCTAAGTTATTTAAACATGTGTATTTAAAAGTTGACATTACTCTAAAAGAAGGCACATTAAAAAAAAAATTCATATTTTAAACATTTTCACATAAGTAAACATAGAACAGGGTAGAGTGACTCCTTAAAAAATAAAACGAAATAACACCAAGTTGATATCTCATCATACAAAAAAGAAAAATACTTGACTATTTTAAGAAATCTGGTATTCATTGGAAATGAGTTTCATTGACTTTTCTCAGGATGTCATTATAAATCACAGCTAGTTTAGAAAATCATAAGTTGTAACAACATATCCATTTACATTCATATGGATAAGAGAAAGATAGGAAAGTGGCTATCCACTATCTAAATTACTAATGTATTGGATGAAATAATCTATTTACTTAGTATATTTCTCAAATGTAGTATATTTCTACAGAATCAAGTCTACATTTAAAAAACAAAATCACTCTTCTCTATGTTCTCCCAGCATTACATTTTGTAATGAAAACTCATGGCCCCCAAACAATTGTCTATGGTATGCAGGATGTTTGGTGGCTTAAGTGTATAGTCATCCCTCAGTATCCAAGGGGGATTGGTTTCAGGACACCCCCTTCCCCATCAAGATCCACAGATACTCAAGTCCCTTATATAAAATGTTTGTATTCACATACAATTTACACACATCCTTCCATATACTTTAAATCACCTCTAGATTACTTACAATGCCTAAAACAAATGTAACTACTATGTAAATAGTTGTTAGGATATAGGACAAGTGAGCCCCAAAACTGGGGCTTAGCCCAACTCCTACCTCAGTTATACTGTATTTTTAAATTTCGTATTACTTTTATTGTTGTATTGTTATTTATTTTTTTGCCTCAATATTTTCAATCCACAGTGGTTCAATGTGCAGATGTGAAACCTGCAGATAGAGAGCCAAGTGTATATTCCATTGTACTAGCAAACTTGCCCCTATATATTCTCCTTAATGAAACTTGTCCTCAACAAAAACTGCTAATGTTAGTTGGTAAGCAGTCCCCAAACTCAAAAAAGTCTCAATATAAAAAAGAAGAAAAAAAAGGTTTGGTTCCAAATTACCCTAAGATACTCTGTAAGATAATAAACAGCCTCCAAAAAGGATTCTATGGTCAAATAAATAATTTTCTTTATTCAGGAATTCTCATAAGCTATACTATGTTAATCATGGTTGTACAGGAGGAGGTAGACAATGAGCAGAATTATATGCATTTAGACTTTTGCAAATTAAAAGCAAGATTGACTTGGAGAAAAACAAGATTGACTTGGAAAAGTTGCTGCAGTAAACTCAGAGTGTGATTCTGGTGTTTAAAAATACGTTAAAATAAGTTTCTTATTGTATACACAGCCCCTAAATGCTAATGAATTGTGTCACCTAACACACTAAAGAAAAAGCAATCTTAAACAATGCTGGAGAAAAATACGACTGTAGCAGACTATGTTTATGCTACTTTATGGGCAGCAAAGGAATTTTCAAGGGCTACCTTGTATATACATAATTTTTTCCTTCCACAATTATTTTAGAACCTAACCACCAAAACAAAAAATCTTTTTTGAACACAGATCTCTTTTCTAGAAACATCTCACAGAATTAACGTTCCACAGAACACACTTGGGAAAACTCTGATTTGCTGTAAAAGCCAACATTCAAATTGAACATTCATTATCAATTCTTAGTAGCATGCTGAAACTGTAAAGTGAATTACATCTCATATATGCGCTTTCAATAATTTAAAAAAATAAAGCTTACTACTGCCAAGATGTATTTAGTAGAATTATACTGGGAAACATTACCTCAAATTAAGAATTACAAGATTGATTAGACTCAAAGAAAAGTCATAGCACAGATTAAAGAGAAAAGGTAACAATGTCAAAAGGATATAATATATTATATATTCAGGGCATCTTTATAATTGAAAAAGTTAACTCTACCAGCTATAAAACACTCTTTTTAATCCAACCAATGAAATTAAGCAGTCAACATACTAAAATAGTACCTTAAAGAGTTCATTTTTTTCTATTTCTATAGCCATAACTTAAATTTCTGATTTAAGTTCTTCTCAATACAATGCCTGTCCCTAAATGCCACTCCTCCTAAATCACAACTATAATGAAATTACCCCCCTAATTCAAAGCATTCAATGGCTTCCCATTGTACATTAAGTCTGACTCATTAAAAATAGTATTTAGGCTGGGCATGGTAGCTCATGCCTGTAATCCCAGCACTTTGGGAGGCGGGCAGATCACGAGGTCAGGAGATCCAGAATACCCTGGCTGACACTGTGAAACCCTGTCTCTACTAAAAACACAAAAAAATTAGCCGCGCATAGTGGGGCGCCTGTAGTCCCAGCTACTTGGGAAGCTGAGGGAGGAGAATCGCTTGAACTTGGGAGACGGAGATTGCAGTGAGCCAAGATCGTGCCACTGCACTCCAACCTACGTGACAAAGCAAGACTCTATCTCAAAAAAAAAAAAAAAAAAAAAATTATATTTAATGTAATTCATAATCTGGTACCAACTATCACCCAAATTTATATCCCTCAGTTCACTTTGAACTACTCTTTAACAAAAATTTTGAGACTAGCATGATTTGGGCACCAAGCGAGGTTCCAAAATACTCTGTTTCACTGGTTCTCAAACTTTAGCATGCATCAGAATCTCTAGAGGGTTTATTAAAAGAGACTGCTGACCCCACCCCCAGGGTTTCTAATTCAGTTGAAATTGGATTTATATTTTTAACAAGCTCTCAAGTGATGCTGATGCAGCAGATCAGGACCCATACTTGGAAAACCATTGCTCTACTCCAAAAGCCACAAACTGGAAGCCCAATGGCTCAATGAGGCCCACTCACATGTTGTCTGTATAATGTTTTAAAAGCATTTTGTGTTATTTGCAAACATTTTTAAATTGGAAAATTCTGCATTAAAAATGCAGATTTCTGGTTTATTCCCGCATGTGAAATTCTGCTGGAGCTAAACAGCAGCTGCCCTACCTAGTCCAGGGAGATGTCCTTCCTAGTCCAGGATACCACAACCCAAACTGACTCTCTCTACATTCACTTAAAATTACTGGCCACCACTGCATTTGTGCTTATACATTCAATCCACTTTTTCCCATCCCTCTTTTTTCCAGCTTCTCACTCTGGCTTCAAACATCCATGGTCCCCTTCACTGCTGAAATTCCACCCACTCCATTCTAAACCTTGGCTTAAAAATCTTTTCTCAACAAAGCCCCAGCAAAAATAGAAATTCTTAAGTAACATACATATTAGAGATTTAATATAAATTTAATATGTATGCTTTAAGAATTGAGGTTTTTTTTCCACGAATACTAAAATAACAATACCTATAAAAAACATAAAATTTTAATTTTGTTCATTCTGATTTTTACTGTGAAAGAAATTTTTTCCAGAACAGGACATTTAAAATGAATTAAGACATGTCTTTAAATCACACAGCCAAAATATATAATAGCTTCAATGGAATACCTTATCTATTTTGCTGGAACAAAAAGAGAGAGAGAATGGGGTAATTTATATAATTATTCTGATTTCACAACCTAACAATCTTTAAAGGCAATTTTACGAAACAAATGCTTCTAATATTTAAATCTAGAGAATATTTTGGTGGATATTTACTTCTATCAAATAGAGGGAGGGAAATTACACAAAGAAAAACTGAGTGCTGGTCTCTGCTCTGCCATAAATAGCTTTGTTACCCTAAGTAAGTCATTGAGTTCTCCCTGGACCTGTTTCATTACCCCTAAACTGCAGAGACGGAAAAAAGTGTTCTCCAAATATCTTCCATCTCTAAAATCCTAGGATTTACTCCTTCAAAAGATAAAAGCATAAAAACCAATGTCATACAGACAAGCTTCTTGGTATTAGGTTAGTATAGCTCCTAAATTAGACTGACTTAAAAATCTCTAATTACCGCTTTCAAAGTTCTAACTAAAAATGTTAACCAAAAAAAAAAAAGACTCAGACCTTTGAAAGAATATGTGTTTGTTTACGTATTTGTGTATATCTTAGTGATCAGAATAAAACATCTTTTGTAAGGTCAACAATTAAACTTACGGGGAAAAAAAAAAGAAGACAATAAAAACTATAACCATGCCAACCAACCAGTAAATTTTAATATCTCAAAAGAAAATAATTAGAAAATTATATCAAAAAAGTTTTTCCATAATAGAGATTAACATTTTTCAAGAACGTGTATTTTGTTTCAGGATATTCCCAAATTAAAGTAATTTGGCCAAAATCAAAATTATCAAATTGCAAGATTGGAAAAAAAACTTAGAGACTGTTATATTCAGGTAGATCATGCCGTAAGCGAATTGCTTTCAGCTTCTCCACTTCAATTTTTGCTCTTAGTAGCTCTTCCTCTAGCTGCTGCCTTCTTTTCAATCCATCCCTCTTCTCCTGAACATACAATCCAAAATTTTTTTGATTTTCTAAAATTATCTGATGCTCCTCTTTCAACATTTGCAGGATCTGAGGATCATACCCTAATAGTGACCTAAAGTGTTCACCACTCTCATGCCGAAAAAAATCATCTCTCCTTGGAATAGAAGATGGAGACGATGTCATTCTCATATCAACAGAGGAAAGTGAAGGCGACAAGGATCTTTCCATAACATGTACTAATTCATGTTCTTCTCTTTGCTCTAAAGTATCACTCTGTTGAGAATTTAAAACCAGTGGAGGAGGTGGTTTAATGTCTTCTTCTTGCTTCACCTCCACTGTAATAGCAACAGGATGGTGATCCAACATTACCTGTAGTGAACTGGTACCAGCCTGTGCCTCCTCATCCAAGTTTGCACTATAGCACACAAAAAAGCATTATAATATGTAAATCAAATGAAAAAAAGTATATTTATAGCATAATTTTATATTTAATATACATTAAATTATGAAGCTTTAAAACTATAAAGTTACAAAACAAAAAAAATCTTAACACTTGAAATACATTAAAGTGACTGAGATTGGGATTTCAATAATATATACTTAAAGATCTCCCCCATCCTTAACTTTAAAATTGTACTTTTAAGGGGCAGGAAATGACAAATATTATAGAAGGCCAATGAAGAAAATAACAAAGAAAAGTCAGTTTTAATGTTGTCAAACAGACAACAATCTTTCCCACAACCCTAAGGTTTTCAAATGGTGTAAAGAGCCATTTAATGCATTCTCAGTCTTACTATCCCCATACCTTAGCCCTAGACTTCCTGCTTCTGCTCTCCTGGACTGATCTTAAAACCAGCAAGGCCCATAAAAAAAAAAAAAAAAAAACTTCTAAGAGGACAGTGAAAGGCCATCTATGGAAGGTACTATTTCTGCATTTGCCCAAAAAATAAAACATAAAGATTGTATATGGCTTTGGGATATGCTCAACTACTGGAGGTTATCCTTTCTTATTTCAGATGTTTTATCTGATAGGAAAAACTTCCCTTTTACCTATCCTGAACCACATGACTCAGTTGCTCTTTAAGTCTTTCAATCACTGGTCAGGTAAAGTTCACAAGAGCAACGGTTTTAATCCACAATTGCATACTCAGTACCTAGTAGGTACTGTACTTAGAACCTAGGAGGTGCTCATTATGTGCTGAATGACTGAAAAGAACAAACTAAATGATTGTTTAATAAAACATTTTTAATGGCCTATACAGATATTAAAGGTTTATTAAATTTACACATAATTTCCACCAACTATGCATTCCTAATGGAGACAACTACAGCTTTAGCATAATTTAAACTTTAATATAACAAGTTATGATATTATAAATGCAATAAACCTTAAAATTATGTTTTATAAACATAATTTTATGTATAATGTGAAGCTGTGAATTAAGAATATCTGCTCTTTGAGGTTTTTTTTTTTAATTTATGCTTCTGCCTAATTTAAAAATAAAAGTTAGAAAGGGAAATTAGATTATTGAACATTAATGGAAATACTTTATTTAATATTATTTAGAGAAGATTTTACATATAAGAAACATAATTAAAAGAATACATTCTACATGGATGATTAAAATGCTGGGACAAGTTCAAGTAGAATGCATAGAAAAAGATTAAAACTACTCATATATTACTTATTAATGGCATTAAATTGCCAGAAATATCAGATATTTATCTAAGAGACAAAATGAAACATATACATAGTATATAATAAAAAAACTATTTGTAGATTATATAAATTCATTTTTGTTCTTGTCTCTGTTTGTGTCATTTTATGATTTCCAAAAACAAAACAATTAATTATAAATCTAATTCAAAGTAGCAAGCTCTGCTTCTATTAATAGCTCTGCTAAAACCTGGAATGGGAAAAGGTTAAAATTGCATATGAAAATTAAGTTTTTAAAATCACATAATTACTATTTCAATTAGTATGTAAAATAAGAGTATAAACATAGACATTATACTCCCAAGTAAATTAAAAATATGCCTTATATCTGGAACATTCCATTCCATTTTAGCTAAAACATTACAACTAAGGCATAACAATGTAAAAAGGGAGAAAAAAAGGTTTAGAGCAGGTCACAAAAATGACAGACAAGGACTTGAGAATCAGAACTTTGAAGATCAGTTTACAAAAACACAAAATAAAAACTGATATTAGGAAGAGGTAAAAATAAAGACATAAGTCAATGTGAGTTACCGAAATAAATAGCCTTACAAAACAGGTATATATTTTTAAGTATTTTAAACAACGCAAACACTTGTATTTTCCTTATTAAAAAGGAAGAGTTTGGTAAGATTAACAGGCATATTTATGTAGAAGTATAGTTAAGATTATAGAATAATTATAAACTTCTGAGATTATTAAGATTCAAGGATGATGTCAATCAAATAAATATAAGCACATTAAATATATAGATTAAAGAAATAAGCTAACACAGAGAAAATGTCAATGTAGACACAGTAACACAAGAATTTAAGAGGGATGTTTCTCATATTCTTCCCTTTAAAATTTAACAAATTGATATTATTTAAGTCATAGGTATAGAAACGCACAAATCAACTCATTTTTATCAGAGAAATGTTGATATCCCAAAAGATTTTTTTGTGTGTGAATATTGTAAACATATACACACAAATGGTCAAAATGTAACCAGATACTTGTATATTTATATATTGTTTCTCTTCTATACTCACTGTATTTTTAAAATATGCAACTAATTAAAATTACAGTTTCTACATGTAGTTTTCAAATTATAAAAACCTATACCTACTAACCAAAGGGTACAGTTTTATACCTGCAATGCAAAAAACATTTTTCTCCATGGTTCAAGGGGGAGAAAATTCTGCATAAGTTGCACAGTATAAAACAATTTTACTGTGTAGTTTTCTGGATATCCAGCTATTGGGATTTCATCTTTTGTCATCACAGTGAACATTTTAACCAGTGGCCTCAAGAATTAATCCACTGTGCATTCATGTCCTGGATTCCCACTGGTGGTATTTTTTTACTGTGCTATCAAGTAGAAATAAGCAGTATCTGGTAAGAAGCTAGGCTCAAAAATACTTTCCTAGTAAATTACCAAAATAACATATGCACTTGGCTACAAAGTGGTTTTTTTCTGTTTCTCTCCTAATTTCAAAGGGATTTCACAGTAATCAATAATTTGCTTATATAATGCCTCTTCCACCAATAGAAAAGCACATTGTGTAAAGCTTTGTGTGACAGGCTCCTCAAACTAACAAGGAGTTTACAATTTGTTTAAATTACTCTAAATGGTTCAGAATAAGAATGTAGCTGCCATTTTTATATTTTGCCAGAGGTTACAACCTGAATTAGTGGCAAGATAATACTTTTGAAAATTCCAAGGCAAATAGTTACATAGAACACAAGTTTAACCAAAAAATTGCTTCTAACTCTAAAATAACCCAGTTGCTCTTAGGGGTATTTTAAAATTCATAATTTGATATTCTTGCAAAGCAGTAAGAGAAAGCTTACTCTTTCCTATATGATCCAAGATCAAAGTGAAACTAGACCATTAAGGAATAAAAACAACAAAAAAACTTAATTTTATTAAGTAAACTGAATCCCTAATTAGGCATTAACTCCCTTTAGTTGTGTTCATCTTTATTTTAAATGTGTTAGAAAAACAATTTAAACTGTCTTCATATACACAATCATGCCATTAACAAGTTTACTTATTGATTTTAGTTATATTTGTTAGTTAACACATATTCAGTAAGTGTAGACAATGACAATTCATAAAAAAGCAAAGGTTCCATTTCTCTAGAAACTGCTAACTTTATATAAATTTTATATAAAATTGAAAATTCCAGTGAAATGTAATATTAAAAGAGAAAAAAAGTATCTCTCAGAAGCAAACTAAATAATTTAATTTTAAAGCTTCAAAAGTTTATGAAGTGATGTCACAAATTTCATCCCACTTATTCCTCCCTAACCTTTACTTTTAGAAACTACAGGAGGGAAGGGGGAGGGGAAGACAGTAAAAAGTAGCTTAAATGCAACAGAAAAATTCCTCATAGCCTCACTTTTCTCTTTTTAAAAAATGCAAAACAAAGACACTATTCATTGCTCCCGTTGTGGGGATGCTTACTATGCATATCTCTATCACGACTAAGCCAAAGCCCAATAGATAGGAGGCGCCATAATTTTCCATAACAAAACAAAATAAAGCTTACCTTTGTATGTGGTTCCTGTCTCTTACCAGGCAAAAACTGGAAATCTGGGGAATCATCTCCATAACTTTCTTGGTTGGCTCAGAAATATTGCTTTTAAAATCTGATTGGGTATCTTTTTGCTGCAATAGCTCCTGTTTGGCATATTCTTTGAGCCTTTTGTAAAGGGTGCGTAGGCCCTGTGCTGTTCGAGGAGGGCGGTCTACTCCAATTGCATTATAGTTAACTGCTATGATATCCCAACATCTATTCTTTTCCACTATTACTGAATGTTTATTAGTGTGTTCTTCGAGAATTTTCACATATGGCTTCACAAGCTTTAGCAAATCAAGCTTTTCGGATAAGGTAAAATTGGAAGATCTAGCCTTTCCTACCATTGTTCTTTTCAAATTAAGTAGGCAGTTTCTGAAACCACCATGCAGCCTTCAGCTCTGCTCAGCTCTTTTCACAAACAGAAAAAGATCAGGCTTAACTAGGCTAGCCTCATTTAGGCCCACGCCTACAGGGGAGGGTTTATTAAAATTCCTCCAGCTTAAGCTGACGCAGGTTCAGGAAATCTGCTTAAGCCAAACCTGACCTACATAAAGCTTCTCACTGAAGAAGACAGGAAGGCACAAGCAAAACACACTTGTGTATAAAGGGAACAGCTCGAGACAGGATTTAATACACAAAGGTCTAGAGATAAGCATGGAACACAGCTAAAAATTAGCTAATTTAGTGAGAATATCAAATTTCACACGTATGCCTAGCTGACAGACTGAACTGCATTGCAGTATCACTTTAATAAAAACAAAAGAGGAACTGTTTTGTGCTATTTGTTTGCAAATCCAGTAGACAGAAAACTAAAAGATATGAGTGGTGAATGCAGTAATTCCTAACAGAGCCTCTCATCACTGTTTCTGAGCTGAGTGTTCTCCCTTACAAAATCTGCATAATGCTGGACCTGCTGTCAATCAGGAATTGCATATCCCCTAGCTAGTTAGGTTACACCCAGACCCAGACTCCACGGTAAAGCTAAGCTTCTCCTTCATTTTACAGTCTACATTAGCCTCTGCATATTTTTTTCAGTTAAGAAAAAATTTTTATAGAACACTCAATCTAAAAATCAGGTAAAAATCATGTTTTTAGAGCAATGGATTATTCTAGCCGTAATGTATGTGAATATGCTAGCCTGCCTTATCATGTGTAAAAAATCACTATTCATGGTGAGAAACAGTATAATCACGCCTTAAGACTCCACACACGAAATCGCATTTGCTATTATAATAGAGCCAGATTTTTTATTTAGATATATTCACACAGTTTGGACTATGAAAGGAAACAGCTAGTATAGCCATTTTCAAGGCCACCAGTTTCAGTACTTAGAATATATTTGTTAACCCCAGTATGAAAATATATGATACATAATAATGTAAGCAAGACAAACCTATTTTCTCACAATATACATGTTTTTCCAGATAGGGGAATAAATTAGAACATACTTGAACATAGTTCTATCCAATCAAACTATTACTGAACAACTGCAAAGTATTAAGAGGTGGGAAAAATAATTTTTTTAAATTACTGACCACATATATAAATGCTCTCAGGCACTGTGCAAGACCCAATGAAATCAAAAGTGAATCTAGATAAAGCACCTACCCAGGGAACTGTATTTCCACAGAAATGCTATAAATTCTCAATTATCTTGTTTTTCATTCTTTTAACAACGGAGAAGCAAATTAAATTTCCTGAGCTCTCATTGCGAGCCAATGTGTTAAAAGTTTTAAATGTATTATCTTTCAGAAAACAGTGAAAGATTGCTGGATGTTCTATGGAATGCTAGGTGTTGTCTGGTATACCCTACTGAGTAATTTGATTCCATAATAGTTCTACCCTTTCACTGTCTTTGAGCAGTTTTACAGCTCTGTAAATTGTAGAAATCAGTAATGCAAATGATTCTTGTCCATAGAGATGCAAAAAGAAAATCGACCTGCCCCAACAACGACTGGACCACAAATACTCAAAATCATTTTAGCCTTTTCTGAGCTTTTAGAATATTAAAAGAGAACCAAAGAAAGAACACAGGGTATATACTTTATTTAGATAATTATTTTGTTATTTTCAGAAGAAATACAGGTATTACAGAACACAGGGTATATACTTCAGATAATTATTTTTGTTATTTTCAGAAGAAATACAGGTATTATGTTAAGAATAAAATACTACTAAAATATGAGAAAATGTTCAATCTCACTAGTTATCAGGGAAATATATACTAAAAATGATTTTCATTCATAGATTGGCAACATTTTTTAAGACTTAAAATGCCAAGAGTGAGGCCGGGCTCAGTGCCACATGGGTAATCCCACAGTTTTGAGAGGCCAAGTATCGTTTGAGCACAGGAGTTCAAGACCAGACTGGGCAACATGGAGAAACCCTGTGACTACAAAAAATACAAAAATCATCCGGGTGTGGTGGCATGTACCTGTAGTTCCAGCTATTTCGGAACCTGAGGTGGAAGGATCACTTGAGCTCAAGAGGTTAAGGCTGCAGTAAACCATGATCATGCCACTGCACTCTAGCCTGGGTGACAGAGCGAGACCCTGCCTCAAAAAAATAAAAAAAGGAAACTCCAAGAGTGGATAAGGATAGAAGGGAAAGAGTACTCTTCTGTACCGTTGAAGGGAGTGTAAAATGACATTTTGGATGGCGATATGGGAGTATCTACTAATATTTTACATGAGTAGGAAATCTTCTAAAATTGTGGTAATTTTATGTCTCAGAATCTACCTTAGAAAAATACTCAAAATGCACACGAGAGCAATGAAGCATTCTATGTAGTTGCATAGAGTGGAAGCAATCTAAAAGCACATCAGTTGGAGTTAAAAGCATACAATACATCCATATCATGGTCTACTCCAGGCAGCATTAAAATGAAAGAAGCAGATCATAGTGTGTTTGAATATATCATGCTATTAACGAAAAGAGTCAAACTCTGTATAAAATATGTTTAGAGATTTATTCTGAGCCAAATATGAGTAACCATGGCCCAAGACACAGCCCTCAGGTGGCCCTGAGAACATGTGCCAAGGTGGTCGGGATACAGCTTAGTTTTACGTATTTTAGGGAGGCATGAGACATCAACCAAATACATTTAAGAAATACATTGGTTTGGTTCAGAAAAGCGGGACAACTCAAGGCGGGGTGGGGGTGGGGTGGGGTTCCAGGCTATAAACGTTTTCTGGTTTACAATTGGTTGAGTTTATCTGAAGACCTGGGATCAACAGAAAGGAAATGTATGTTCAGGTTAAGATAAAGGATTATAGGCACCAACTTTTATTGTGCAGAGGACGCTCTCAGATAGCAGACTTCAGAGAGAGCAGGTTTTATACTGTTTATTATCAGACCTAAAAGGGTGCCTGGCTCTTAGCTGATTATCTCCTGGATCTAGAAAGGAAGGAAGGAAAACAAGGGGAAAGTAGATTATCTATAGAATGTGGATTTTTCCCACAAGGTATGGCTTTGCAGGACCATTTCAAGATACGGCAGAGAAACATGTTTTGGGGTAAAATATTTTTATTTTCTTCCATGTTACGCCAGAGTCAGACTGGAAAGTAAGTCATGATATACAGGGTTAAATAAAACCCATCTGATGAGAATGTATGCTTTATAGAGCATGATTCCTCAGACCCCTTAGATAGGAATTTGGGCAAAATTTAAAAAACAAAAAAAAATCAGAGCTTAGTCCTCAATGCAGACAGCACAAATTAGTGATAACCTATGTAAATTGTAATTGATGATTAATCTGAAATATTTATTACTGTTTTGATCATATTACAATAAAATTATCTTCCAGTTTGAAAATAGAATGGACAAATTTTTAATTTAAAAAGAAGCTATACTACTGATGCAGAATTGAGTGGAAAATACTGTGCAGGACTTTCTAAAGCAGACTATGAAAAGGTGACATGGATATAGTTGTTAAAAACATTACGAATATGTGTGTAAATGCTATGAATCACTGCCAGTTTATGGAACTGGTGAAAGAAATTGAATAATTTTTTTGTTCTTTGCCAATGCTCGTTGGTGTAGTCATAGAGTTTTATGAAGAATCGTTGTGCTGTCTAAGAGTAAAAAACTCAAACTGTTTATACTCTGCTCTTACACCACAACAATCAACATGGAAGACTTGTGTGACCAAATGTATGGGAGTTTCTCCCCACATACCAAGCAAGAAATAAGTTCTGCAGTGGAGAGTAGCCAGGTGTCCTCTAATTCAACTCCAACGCTATCTACCAGAAGACAGTGTTAGATCTCAAAGATTAAGAGCTCAGTACCACAAACCCCATGGCCCCACCAGTCACAAGTCTGGGCCTCCAGAACATCTCACCGAAAAGCTTCAAGTTGGGGTTCCCACAATCCCCTCTGGGTTCTATTAGTTTGCTAGAGTGGTCACAGAACTCCAGAAACATGCTTACCAGTTTATTATAAAGGATATTACAAAGGACACAAATGAACAGCCAGATATAAGAGATGCACAGGGCGAGTTATAGTGGAAGGGACACAAAGTTTCCATGCCCACCCCAGGCACAACCCCCAGAAACCTCTACTTGTTCAGCTATCTCGAAGCTCTACAAACACAGGGCTTTTGGGCTTTTTATGAAAGCTTCATTACATAGGCATGAGTGGTTAAATCATTGGCCACTGGTGATCAATTTAACCCTCAGTATCTCTCCTCTCCCCAGAGATAGGGATGAGGCTGAACATTCCACCTCTCTAATGATGCCTTGGTCTTTCGGGTAACCAACTCACATCCTGAAACTACCTAGGGGCTGTCAGCCATCAATCAATCACTAGCACACAAACAGACATTACTTCGGAGGTCCTAAGGATTTTAGGAGTTGTATACCAGGGAAATGGGGTCAAAGGCCAAATATATATTCCACAATATCACATATTATTAACTTCAGTTGGAGATTTTTGTGAAACAAAATGCTTACAAAACAGTCAATAAACAAAGGCAAAAAAAAATCAGCCTAAGTGTCCATCAACGCATATACACAATGGAATATTATTTAGTTATAAAAAATGAAATCCTGTCATTTACAGCAACATGGATGGAACTGGAGGACATTATGTTAAGTGAAATAAGCCAAGCACAGAAGGACAAATACCGTATGTTCTCTTTCACATGTGGGAGCTAAAAGGGTGAATCTCATGAAGTAGAGACTTGATTAGTGGTGGCCAGAGGCTGAGAAGGAGAGGTGGGGATTAAGAGAGGTTGGTTAATGGGTACAAAAGTACAGTTAAGCTGGGCGCAGTGGCTCACGCCTGTAATCCCAGCACTTTGGGAGGCCAAGGTGGGCAGATCACGAGGTCAGGAGATCAAGACTATCCTGACTAACATGGTGAAACCCCGTCTCTACTACTAAAAATACAAAAAATTAGCCAGGCGAGGTGGCAGGCGCCTGTAGTCCCAACTACTCAGGAGGCTGCGGCAGGAGAATGGTGTGAACCGGGGAGGCAGAGCTTGCAGTGAGCCGAGATCGCATCACCACACTCCAGCCTGGGCAACAGAGCAAGACTCTGTATCCAAAAAAAAAAAAAAAGTACAGTTAAATAGAAAGAATAAGATCTAGTGTTCAATAATGTAATACGGTGACTACAGTTAACAACAATTTATTGTATAGTTCAAAATAGAAGAATTGGGATGTTCCTAACATAAAAAATGTTTGAGGTGATGGCTGTCCTAACTACTCTTGTAAAAGAAAATTAAAATCTTAAGACCCTAAACTCATTATACCAAAGAGAGAGTTAAACCTAGAAAATTAGTCATGCAACGAGTTTCCTTCCTCCTCTTCCCCCCAGAGCTATAATTTCACAACCCTGTGTCACAGCATTACATGTTAAGTCAGGGTCCCACAACGGGAAAAGGACATATACCTCCCCCACAAATTTCTCACAAGAAAATCCCTTCCTAGTCACTAAACCTTTCAGGGTACATACCCACCTATAAAACCAGCACATGCCAATTGTAACCTTGGGTGTGCAACCTAAGTTTAACTCTTAAAACTGAGTTCTGTTAAATCTCACACTGACAATGTCAATTACAAGCTTACCTTCTTAGGTACAGAACAGAGACAAGACAAAAAATCACTCCTTTGATCATGTCTTTTGCAGGGACAAGGATGGAGTTGGAAGCCATTATCCTCAGCAAACTAATTCAGGAACAGAAGACCAAATATCGCATGTTCTCACTTATAAGTGGGAGCTGAATGATGAGAACACGTGGACACATTGTGGGGAACAACACACACTGGGGCCTATAGGGATGGTCGGGAGAGCATCAGGAAGAATAACTAATGGATGTTGGCTTAATACCTAGGTGATGGGATGATCTGTGCAGTAAACCACCAGAGCACACGTTTACCTATGTTAACAAACCTGCATATCCTGCACATGTACCCCTGAACTTGAAATAAAAGTTTAAGAAAAATAACAATAGTAATAATTCAAGGGAATAAAATGAAATTATTAAAAAAAAAAAAAAAATCACTCCTTTGGCTCCCCCAAATGGATGCATAACTGACTCTTTCCTCTACTCCATCTTTTCAAATGTTTACCTTACCTTGTGTAAAACACAGATTTACTGAGCACTAATGAGAGCCTCACAAAAATGTAACCATTTGTCTCACTGCCTCTCTTACCTTCCTTTGTCCCTTCTGCTTGCTCTTTATTCTTCAATACTGAGTTCCAGAAACCCTCTTTTGGAAAGCACAGGTTAACAGACGCTCCTGTGACTTGTGTTTTTCCCAGGTGCATCCTTAAACTTCGGCTTAATAAACCTCTACTGATTGAGTCACATTTTTGGTTAACACACACTGATTTGATCATTACACATTGTATGCATATATCAAAATATCACATGCACCCCCAAAATATGTACAACTATTATGTATCAATAAATAATAAAAATGAACTGTAAAAATAAAAAATATACAAGTTTACCCATTTTTGGGGTCTTCATTTACTTATGAAGGCTCCTGTATCATATAAAATGTATATTAAATAAATTTTATGCTTATGAAATATCATAGAAAAATGGATGTAGAATACAGATAACTTAATGAATAAAACATAAATGTCCAATATACAAAGAACTCAACTTCACAAGTAAACAGGGAGACACAAATTAAAAGATAACAGTAGGTTTTCCTCATTCAATTGGCAAAAGTTAAAAAAGTTTAGTAACATGGGTTGAAGAAGTTGGGAAAATAAATTCTCTCATACACTAATGATGGCAATCATTTTGGAAGGCAACTTGGCAGACCATATTAAAGTGTAATGCAAACACATGATGATCTGACAACTCCTGAGAAATACATGCATATGTTCACAAGACCACATGCACAAGGACGTTCACTGCAGAGGTTTTAATAGTCAAAAGAACACTAA